AAAAAAAATAAAGCTGTAATCGACTCACAATCACCCAATCAGAACTTGTCTTTCAACAATGGTAGGGAAAGGCCAACAAACAACAACCGAACCGACCGTGAGGTAAGAAGCTCGAATGCGGTGTGAAGCAGTGTCGCCTACCAAAATGCTTTCCGTCAGGTATCGCGCTATATGCTAGGCCCCCTGTAGGCCACTGTCTACTCATATATTGTCGCATCATTGTTTACAATTTTAGATATCTTTGTTTTCTTATTTTGTTTCTAAAGACAATACCTAGCCTTCTCCTCTTTATGTAAAACGATGAGTAAGTAATTGCAAGGCCTAGGCTATACTTATACAGTAATTTATTGATCGTTTTTTTGAGTTATAGAAATAATTTTTATGCTAGGCCCTAGACTACAGGCGGATAAAATATTCTGACAGCCGGCAATTTTTACCGGTTACCGGCTATTAACAACAACCCTGATATACTATAATATCAGTAAATAATAATAATACTACTATTAATAATATCTATACTATATACATACTGTATATATACTATAATACAATAATATAATTTGGGCCAGACCGTGCAATGCTACGCAGGGTCACTACTCCTGCTGTACACAGAGTCTGTTAACATATTGTAACATAATCAAAGAGTATAGAATTACAATTCTGTACTCATTGACATAATAGACAAATCTTGAAAATAGCGCTGATTTGTTGCAGTCTGATGAACTCCAAAACCAATCACGCACTCAGTGAGCTAGTTTGTTATAAGCTTTCAAGATTTGTATACTTATCGAAATGCAATACGATTTTGCAACAAAAAAATTGGGTTCCACCCTGTATTCAACCTGTTCACGGATAATAGCAGGCCTGGGAAAAAAAACATTTGTGCCTCTGACCATGATTGTTGTTGATAAAATGCCTCCCGCACCAAATTTTATATCTGTACACTATATAGCCCAACAACTTCAAAACAACTTAGCTTGGGGAAAGTTTTAATATACGTTCAAAATAACTAGCAAAAATAATATAATTTTGTTTATTTTCATTTTCCCACAATGTATACAGAACAAAACAAATCATTTTAAAACCATCATATTGTATAATCACACAGAGAACAAATGATTGACTTATATACTGTAAATATAACATAATGAAACAACACACTATGTTTAGTTAAAATATACAATCAGAATATATTTTTAGCAGTCTTCAGTTAAATAATCCCTTTACAGCTCATCCTAGGCTTTTGATATTGGAATCAATATCGCAAGTGATTGAGTGATATGTATGCGTGCCTGTAGTGTTTATAAAACAGATTGGATTGATATAAACTAGAACTTTTATAGAACTTTATTTTCAACAACATCAAACACATGTGTGTCCAAGATGGCTGTTTTATTTGAATAACGCCCTCAATATAGTAAGTTATTAACAATAGGGGGTGACAGACCAGGTTAGTATTTTATCAGAATGGTGATTATTCAATACTTGGAGTAGGCTATGTATTATACTTTCTTATCGGTGATTATTATGTTATAAACAAATGTATCAACAACATTATCCCTCCCCCCCACTTGACATGGATCGCAAATGTCACGGTTATGCCAATGGCTTCAGAGTGGCCTATATCCAAGATAGGTGTATTTGACAGCTGCTCTTGTTACAACTTATTGGAGTGTTAAAATTGTAGCATGAGATATATTTACTCACCCTCTTATACTGCAACCAAGGAAGCCATCATCATCAGCAACAAGCAGTACAGTCCTCTCTCTGTTTACTGATACCACTTCTTGTTTACCTTGTGATTGTGACCCATCTTGACTCCTGCAAAAAAAAAATGAAAAGCTTTAGCACTTTCAAAGTACTTTCTCCTTTTGGTTTGATATCAAATAAATCAAATTGTATATCAAGTATATGCTAATATCTTAAAGCTCTCTCCAGACTATCACATTTTATTTGACAAATGGTTGTATGCCATGATGTGCCTATCACGATGTGATGTCATCATCACCATATTTAGGTATAGTATGTCAAATAAATTGGACATGGCTTTATACACAGTAAGTATTGTTAAATTATATTTTCCTGATGCATCCATCAACACCTTTCCATTTTAATCCATTGCTTTCCTGTGTTGACTGAGCTTGATTTATGATTACCCTATAAAAACACCGTAAACACCTGTTGGCTGTTACAAATTACATACTTAGACAAAGGATACTTTATTAGTGGACACTTAGTTAAATACAAAGGATTCTATTTAGTAACAGAATGAAGCATTCTCCTGTATAAATCCTATAAATAAATCATACAATTGTGACTATATACTGTAATGTCATAATAAAAATAAACACCAGACAAAATGTAACTGATACTGGTATAGGCATTTATAATGCACCACTTCCTTGAGGTTAGAAAGCACTTCTTTTCCCTGGTCATTTGGCCTACATGCTTAAGTGTTGCTGCTGGTAATCAGTGCAGGAGCAGGCAATTCCACCATGCAGGTACCCATTTATACTTCTGGGCGAAATGCACAGCGAGGGATTGAAACACTGCCACTGAGGTTGGGAAACCAAATCGTTCCCGCTGTACCAAACCGCTTCTACCCGATTATCTATCCAGTGGCTTACCGTGGGGTGTCATGCGGTGTGCCTGGCATTTGGCCGATCTGGGCAAGGTATAGAGTTAATTTATAGGCAGATTTGATTGCAACGACGGCTTCTCCGTGAGTCACACTTTTCAGAGAGGTATCATTCACTTTTAGAATCCGCTCTCCTACTTTTAAGCCCTAGAAAAGAAACAATAATTAATCATTAATTCCTAAAAATTTGAAATTGGTGATGTCTAGAAGTTTTGAAACATGACTGTAAAGTATTCTAGCTTTTTTTAACGATCAGTTTATTATACTATCAAGTTTTTTTGTGACAAACTTGTTCGATTTTCCCATAGAGTATGAACATGATATGACACAGTAAGCAGATACCAGGTCATATTTTTTTACCTTGCTTTCTGCTTGACCTCCAGGGTCAATAGATGATATAAAAATTCCTGCATTCAAGTCTTTTCCACCACGAATGCAAAATCCTAAACTTTCACCAGGACGATTCTCAAGCTTGACCTTTCGAACTTTGACATTTTGGGGTGCTCTGTCACTTCCACTTGAACCTTGATTGCTCTTTGTAACAGGAGGGAGATCAGAAGTTGAAGTCATTCCAAGTAACACAACATGAGCGGTCTTGCTTCGTTTTCGTTCTTTTCTTTCCACCTCTTCTCCTTTCTTATCTTTCCTACCGGGAACTCGCTGAGCGGCTCTCTGCAGCTGGGCACCATCAAGACTCCCTTCCATTGACCTGGTTCTTCTTCGGTCCTTTTTTTCTCTTACGCTTGCATGTACCGTTCCTTTAGCAGGCTCCAGAACGGAACCATGTCTGAACGGCTTTTTATCCACTACTTTCTGTGGTGATTTCTTCTGTTTCTTTAGTAGATTTTCTTTAATTTTAGGCTGCAAAACATTCTTGTAGTAATCAAAATGAATGCAACATAAGCTATCGTAATCAGACAACAGATCATCTGGCACCATTGAGTGTAGCAATGTAAGAATTTGCATCTTCTCTGTAGTGTTAAGGATGACTTTAAGAGATGAGCAGAATCCAAAGATTGAGCGGTTTTCCTTAAAGGATTGAATAATGATTTTGAGTTGTTGGCATTCTGCAGGGGACAATAACTTATGCGATAATGAACGCAGCTTTACACTTGACAGTGACATGTCTATGTGAATCTCTTCCTTGACAACGACCTAGAGAAATAAAAACAAAAACTATTAACTATAAATAATAAACACAATAGATAATCAGTCGACGGTAGGCCTAATGTTCATTTGTCCAATTTGAATGAATGTTACTGAATGATTTGAATGTTATAGAAATGCAAAAAAAATCTATGTATGAGTATTCGCAATTATTTAAAAAAAATAATTTTTTAAGTTTATTATTTTCAAATTATAATCTTATATGCCAATTTCAAAACTTTCATTATTACGATGGATGGATACACAGTTAGTGTTTCAAAACTTCATGCATTTTCCTATTTTCACTCCATTCTTCACTAACAGTTGACATAATATTTATTTTAAAAGAACTTAGTAGGATAGCAGCTATAATTACAGTAGTCACAAAAGAATCTAGTGTATATTCTAATCTCCATTTGTCTGCCATCTGCACAATTTGTATAGATCATCCCTGAAACCTGTTTTCATAAATCCATTACTATTCTACCATCATGTTATCTCAAGTGCTTTTTACAGCTTTTTTGAAATTTAGTATTTATCTGGTTTCAATGTGCTGTGATTTATTATGTAATTTGAAGCAAAATTTAGTCTGCATTGACAAATTTAAAAAAACCTTGAATACACTTAATAACTGCTAAATATTATATTCAAGATTTTTACATTAGCTTAATAATTTATTATGCATTACAGCTAAGATGGACATGGTATTGTTGCTATGGCAATCAAAATGCAAGATGAGTACAATCACATTTGCCTCGAGGTGATACTTAATATTAAATTCTTTAGCATCATGAGGTTGCCATGGAAACTAAATGAACTAGAACTATTATCTCTCAAAAAACCTTATACTTTTAAATTAGAAATGTTATGCCACAGTAGCTAATACTTATCATTCACAATTCCAAATACTAACAACAGTTTTTGTCAAACTGAATGATTAATAAATTATACTTTCCATAATTTATAACTTGTAGTTAAAAATGACAAAACAAAGTAATGTATGCATCTTCTTGATGTATGGCAGTACATGAATTACAGAAGTGGCACCAGGATTTGCCTGATGGGGGAGGGGGTGTCTGATGTCTTTGACAGAGGGATGCCATTTCTCTAACATTGCTTAAAATTTCTTAGAAATGGTTCAGATGTACTTTCACCCCTGACAAATTTTGATCCAATCAGAATATTTGTTTAGCGGCTTTGCTTTCTAAATTTCAGTATACAGTAATATAATTAATCAATATACGTTTTGAACCAGAATATGCTGTAAATTCAAATGCATGTTGACAAAGTAAATAGAAGCAGATGGCAAAGTGTTAACCTGTACTAACAACACTACTGAGTAAATAAACCATACAAAAATGATATTGACTATAATTTCAGCAGTTTTAGGACTCTGAGTAGCCATGCTAGTCTGTAGAACACTCTCAGTAAATAGAAACAAAATATAAATGTACTTGTTTAAAATCAAATGAACAAACAGGATGTCCCTAAATAGATGCTAGTTAGTTCACTAAATTTAAACTATAGTGTCTATTTATGCCATTTAATTTGTTCATCGTTTTTACAACAGTACAAAATATGAGGGAGGGAGGGCTATATAAAAAATGTTGAACTCTATACTGTAGAAAATGATAAAAAAAATATGAACCTTTAAATCACAAATTTAACCAGACAAGTCTCATTGAATCCAGTGTTATACTCCCAAAGGAATGTATATTCAGACACTGATATAATAGTCCTTTGGGTGTATACGGTATCATTGCCAGCAGGTTTCTAAAACCATTGGATTGTAAATTATTCCATTGTTGAAAATAAATGGTAAAACACCTAAAGAATAAGTGTAGCAGAATCTATAACAATGAAGGGAGGCAAGTCATGCTTGGCTGTTGTTTGTGGTGGCTCAAACATAATGTCATTGTCATACCATTACCAGGGAGTTGTTAATTGACAGTTCCCAGATCATACTGTCTGTCGCTAGAAAAAACAATTGAAAAATGTTCATATCCTTCAAAACATTGCTGTCCTGATAATTAGCAATATTATCAATTTTATGGTTACTGTAAAACTATCAATTTATAATTTGAATACAAAATGTAATTACATGTACCTGTATTATGATTTTTCACTCAGCACTTTTTTGTTTTTGGTGAATTGGGAAAATAAGCATCTGGTGGTTTCCCAGACCTAACTGATCAGCAATTTGTGAATTTTTATGACCTAACTGGGACTTCATGGAACCTTCATTTCAACAGTCAATCAAGTCTGAAATTCGAAAAAAGGTAAAGGATCTAATCATAAATTACTAAACTAAATAGAAAGATTAATGAAGAAAATGAATATTTATCAATATAAATAAGATGATAGTGCTTAGTAGAACAGCAAAATTCACCCTCAAATGAAAACATAATACTCAAACATAATATCCATGCATGGTAAAGTACTCCACCCAGCTTGGTTTACTCATCACAAAAAAATCAATAATTTTAAAATACATGTTTACATTGCAAATGCCCTAACAATAGGCTTTCTTATTCTATTTAAAAAACTATTTTCGTAGAAGCATGGTAGTAGAACTAGGTAGAGTAGGTAGCCTTCTCGTACCTAGCCTAGGCCCTAGCCTAAAACCTAGATTGTCCGTTCCAAAAAAAAAAATGGATAAAATGTTTTCTTTTTCTAATCCAGGCCAATAAAACGACCAAAGGACAACACGAATTAGTCGCTTCATTCAATGTTCAACGAAGCTATATCATCTTGACAGTACAATGCAATCTACATAACAATGCAATGAATGGAATTTGAGTTTGAATTTTAAGCGATCCCGTATGCCAGCTCCGAGCCATCCTTGTCTTGTGTACAAGCTCAGTGAAGCTTACAGCTTACGATCTGGGGCCTTCAACAAAATCGAAAATCTCTTCAAAATAAAACACTACAAACCATTATAGGTTCTGGCTATCGCTTCTATATGATCAGTAAAATATTGTTAATTACTTATTTTATCTAGTCTATGAGAAACTAAATATAGTAGATATAAAAAGATTACCTCTTTCCTGTTCTACATGGCGTTGATAAGGACGCACTTGTTTACTGTCTCACGAAGCCTAAGCTTCAACGTATAATTCTGATTGGCTGTTTTGCGAGACGCATTTTCTGATTGGTCCATGTATCGCCCAATAAATTTAGGAATGCAATAGGGCAGTCAAAACTTTTAAAGTAGGACCACCTCCTCTCCAACACCCCAAAATTATGATATAATAAATATTTTTAAAAATTGTTTTCAATGTGTATTAATTTCCGTTATGGATTTCGTTTCAAATCAGGGTGATTTTTTTTTCTTTCATAAACGGGGTTATGAAATCAGTGTAGGATGAGGTACAGACAACTGATAGATTGATAGGCGTAGAGCACCTCACCGATTCGAAGCGTTTTAACAGGATTAAAGTACAAACTTTAAATATTGCATAATGAGTAGGCCTATAAATTATTAATTATTATTCATAATTTACATTCAGCTCCAATCATACATTTTCTGCAAAATGAATGAAGACCTTACAAGGTAGCCTTGAATGAACACATAATAAAAGGACATAATGTATGGATACATATTACGTCATAGACACACAGGATTGTTTAAAATAAAATATGTTTGAAGGGATATAGGTCTATTTTACCACGCCATATGTTAACGTGTCTATTTAAGCGACACATTTATTGTTGATAGGAACCATACATCGCTTGATGAAGTACTTATGTGCATTGAATGTACACACGAAGTACCTACAACAAATAAAAAGAACATATTGCATAAATAGAAACAATATGGTTAATGCTTATAACTCCAACAGTGAAAAGATTTTAACCCCAAAGACACTATATAAATCAAAACAGCTCTTACTTTGATCATACTTTTCGTCCTGATCCCAACAACATGGAGTTGTTACTGATATTCTTCAGCATATCAGTTATAAATAACTGTGTTTTTTCTCAAGAATACGAAGACGATTCAAAATATAACCCACCCCAGGTAAACGGATGTCAATACAGAAAAGCTTTCTACACGCCTCGTCAGAATGTACACAGATTAGAGTCTTGTCTTGACGACTGCAGATGTGACCTAAATGAGCAAAGACAATACGAGATAATTTGCCAGAACCAAAGGGTGTGTCCCTTTGAGGATAGTCGGTGTGAGGAAGCGACAATTGACGAATGCGGCTGTAGATCTTGTAAAATAGGTAAGTATATGCTGGGAAGCTATATTTTATTTGTCTAATATATAATTTAAGGTACAAATCAACAACAATAGGCCTAATGCAATTTAAACAAAATGATACTCATGTTGTAGAAAACACATGAAAATATGTTTTTACAACTTAAACGAAGGACTAAATTCTCGTCGTTTGTCTTTGTAACGCTAAGTTTAGCCTTAGTATAATGTAAAGCCGGACACTTGCTCTGTCGTACGACGGTCATACGACCGCCGGCCGACGAATTTAAGTCCGTTCCCTGTGAGCATTAGACGACGCGAAGCCGTCTGCTGATGGTCAGGGAGAGTCTGAACGGATCGTCATTAATAGCGATTGCACGCGTGCCATGGCGATGGCGTTGCGTTCTCCATAGAATCGCGTCAGCCGGCCGTCGGGCGCAGTGAGTGCCCGACTTGTAGGCTAAGTTAAGTCACGATCCAGTGTTAGAAGCAACAAATAGACCTACAGTACGTAACAACTCTCTTATTTTGCAGAATACGACAGCTACGTTATTTTCAAAACTAAAGATGACTACAAGTACGTTTTTTACCCAGTACCACTGAATACGGAAGGCGGGATCCTATTGAACTTAAAGGTGACAACCAACAGAGATGCGTACATCGGCTTATCACCGCAGCCGATGGACTCGAAACCTATGTACGAGATCGGCGTTGGTATCCATGGCAACCGTGTCTCTGTCATTCGCCGTTGCAAGCAATGTAATTCGGAGAAGATGAGAGTGACGAAAGGTAAATAATGGACAATGAGAGTAGTAAACCAGTGTGCATGCAGGCTCGTAACAAATGTTGTTCGAATGAGAACCAGTTGGTCTGGTGGTGGGGTACCGTTCATGGGTAGAACTATTTTGTGGGCTCTGGGCATAAGCCCTTTGGAGCTGAAGCATTCATAGTCTGTTAGCCTGTTAATGATGACTCATCGTCATTTTTTGGTGCAAGGGGAAGGCGTAGTTAAGTTTATATTGGTGGGGGGTTGTTAAAAAAAGGGGAACTTGGCTAGAGACGGGCCTGACCAGTGGGGAAATCTGTATCAATAAATGCTACCCATAATGTTCTTAACCGTTCTGAGATCAGCAAGTGGTTGTCATTGACTCTCTGAATAGTTGAAAAGCTTCAACTGTACAAAACAAAACAACAACAAAAAATGTAACCTAAAATGTTTAATCAAACAATATTATTAGTGTTGTATATCGATCGATATAATTTTACCATTTACTTATGCAAATAAAAAATAATAGTTTCTGACCTTTTTTGTATCTATTGCTCATCTTTTCTTTCCCTTTCCTTTTTGGTGTTTCCTTCTCTTTTCTTTCTTATTTTTTCCTTGGTAATTCTATCCCTTTTCCTTATATTTCCTTAAATTGTTAAAACAATTTTAATTGTTAAAATTAAAATTACGCATTCCCGTGCTTAGAATAACTCAATGTAAATTGTATTTACAGTATGGTGGCATGTGGTATCAAAAATTGTTGTAAGCAATAGATCTTTTCGCTAAGCCCCCCCCCCCACCTTGTATGTTGTTGTTAAAGTTCCACAAACTTACTTCTTTACTTCAAGGTACGTCAGCCCAAAGTTACCTATTTGTGTTTTCCAAGTGCCATCCAGCCAGATTGTATTCTTTCACTGATCACTTTTTTTTTTTTTTTGGCATTTTCCAAATCCCTGGTTTGACTCAGGTTACACAAAACAATAACATAAATGTACGTAAACACAAGCATTTGTGGGACAAGGCGTGTGACACAAGTCATTCTGATTTTTACCTTCACAGGTGTGTTGAAGAATAAGGTAACAGAACTTTGGCTGTCATTTGTAGACGGTAAACTTTCTGTTGGTGAGAGTGGACAACCAAGCTTCATTAGTTTTACAGATCCTAATCCAATTGATGTCAGGTACCTCGCTATGGCAACCGGATATGGTAGTAAAGGATTGTGGGAAATTGCTGAATTGGGTAAATTATGTATTTACGTACAGACATACTACACTTTTTTTTTATAAAAACATATTTTATTGCCTAAAAAAAACCCACCTAAAATTGCTTTAAAAAAATAAATTGAGGCTAAAGTAAAATAATATCAATGAGAATTTTTATTTAAAATAAAAATAGAAAAACCAATAAATAAATTTTTTTTAAACAGTAAAATTATTTTGGTCTATATCTCTGTACTGTACCTTGTGCAGTACGGTAAGTACTCTTTACAGTAATATACTACTGTACAATAATTATTGTTTATCTTTCAAAAGTGTGTAAGACCATTTTGAGCTTGAAATTGGCAGAAAAATGAACACCGGTCGGGAAAGACTTTCACTGGTTTTTATTTAAAAATTGTAAAGGTATACACAAGGCTTATACAGTACCGGTATACATCTTCAAAAGTATGGTATTACAGCTGCACTGTAAATATGGAATGAAATATATAACAGGCATTTACGGTATTCTTTTAAAAGGCAATGCTTAAGTATACATTTAAAAGTTCTGCGTTAATAACGTCATAATCGACATAATACCATTTCTAAATAAATTTTGTAACTATTTAAAAACATTTCTTTTGCAGATTATAAGGCAACTAGTTCGAAACATATATTAACAGGTAAGTACTAGACCTATACCAACTACTACTAAAATATTTATAAG